GACGCGGAGGGGGCAGAGGGTAGAAGACAGGAGAGGAAAGGGGAGGGGAGGGGGAGGGGCGGGGTGGGGGGGCCGGGCCCCGCACTCACCGCGGCCCATGGTTCGGCCGGCCCCGCCCTGCGCAGTCGCGGCCCAGAGGGTGAGTGGGAGGGGGTGGGAGGAGGGTCGGTGGAGCCCGAACCTCCGGTACAGCCCCGGCCGGTCCTAGCAGGAAGCGCCGCCGCCGCCGCCGATCACCGAGCGGCCTCCCGCGCATGCGCCATAGGGGCCAGGGGCAGCCCTGGGGATTCCGTTCCCAGAAGGCACCGCGCAGGCTGCTGCCGCCGCCGCCGTCGCTGCCGCCGCCACCGCCGCAGCCGCCGCCGCCGCTGCCCGGACGGGAGAGGGGCGGGGCCGGGCCCCCGCCCAGCGGACAGCAGCGAGCCAACAGGAGGGGCTGCAGTGCGCATGCGGGAGCGCGCCTACCCCTCCCCCACAACCTCCCATTAATCCCCAAGAGAACAAACACCCCACGCGGCCCCCCCCGTCCCCCCGCCCCCCCGCCGTCCGCGGAAGGATCTGTGCCTCTTCCCAGGCCACCGGTGGCCAATCCCAGCCTTCCTCGGGGAGGGGCCCCTTCCAACGCCACAGTTTGTTGGGGGAGCCAGGAATGCCAGATTCGGGCGGGGCAGGCCCCAAAAGATGAAAGTCGCGACTTGCCCCGCCCCGCCCCAAAGGCTTCCCGAGTAGTGTGCTGGGACTTGACCCGCCTTCCCCAGGTCAACATGTCACAACACGACCTCGGCCTGTCAAGTCACATGACCTCTGCCTGTCACTGACAACCTGGTCTGTCTTTAGGCCAGAAGAGACCATCTGGTCCAACCAACCCCCACCTCCATTTACAGAAGGGGAAATGGAGGTCTAGAGCAACGGAACAGCCTGGCCAAAGACCTGTCACTACTATACCAAATAGTCGCAACCGGCCTTGGGACAGTGTCCTTAAACAAACTCTGGTTGCCCCCATGAGGGTATGACAGGATATGTAAAAGGCCACCACATGGCCTGTTTTCAAAGCATAAGAAAAATATTTTGCATGGTGCTTTTTACTTTTAAGTTGTCTCCAAGTGCATAGTTCTCTCGTTTTACTTTCGCCACTCGTTATATTTAATTTACAAATGAGAACGTCAGGATCCCTGGGCAAGCGAGGGGAAACTGAGACTAGACTCTGGCAACCCAGTCGTGAGCTAAAAGTGCGTGCACGTCCCAGGTAGAGAGGTTCTACAGTAGAGGTCACGACCCTAGACACCTGGGAGGCAGGGCCCAGCTCAGCTCCTCAGCAGGGAGTCACAGGACTTGTTATCTGGGACAATGGAAAGGAGGGGTCGTGATCCTTGATGAAGGGCACCAGAGCACCAGTGGCGGGGTGGGTGAAAGCGGGGAAAACAGAATTGAATTGTTCAGATTAGGAACATGAATTCTAGAAATATCCAGGGCTAGTCAGAAACTCCAAGAATCAAGGCAAGGGTGCTTTTCTGAGAGAAGTGAAAAAGGACGACCTAGGGGGTTCCAGTACCTCGGCATATTTTGGAAATGTTGGGAAGCTAAAAGAGGAGATCCCTTTAAGAAGACTCCAGATGTCAATCTAGGTGGACGGATGCAAACTTTCAAAGGAGGAAGGTTCAAGGGCCGAAGTGCTCATTATCTAGGGAGGGGTCAAGGCAAATGGAAGTCCCTTATGGGAAGGTAAAAAGGGGGTAACGCTAGGTGACAGAATGGCAGTTCTTGGGGGAGACAAGATGCGATAAGCCTCCACAAGGCAGCCTAGGGGCGGCCACAGTTGAGAGCCGTTGCAGCCGTTGGGTGCCGTGAGCTGGCGCCCCGCCCTCTTTCCTCTCCCCCACCCCCCGTACCTCCCACCACCCTCGTGGTCCCCTGCGCGTGCGCGCGCAGACACCGGTTGCCAAACATTGCATCATCCCCGCCCCCCCATCCTCCCCTCCCCCCTTCACACTCCCCTCCGCGCGCGCGCATGACTCACCCACCGCCTCCGCGAAGCCTCGTGACCCAAAGCCACTTCCGGGTCCAACAAGACATCGACCCCCAAGTGGGAGGTAGCGATGAGGGTGGTGCTGCAGAGCTGCTGAGTGGCGGATATGAGGGATGAGGCGGAGCCAATGCCGGCGTGCCGCTTTTTGATTGGTAAAATTCTGGATCCCGCCCATGGGAGGAGGGCAAGGCCACCATAAAAGATCCCAGCTCCAGGGTACGAGGTCAGAAGCTTGGGTGTAAGACGCAGAGCATATCATGTTGAAGATGAGCGGGTGGCAGCGACAAAGCCAAAATCAGTTCCGGAACCTAAGGAGAAAGGCGAGTATTGACTCCCTATCCACCCTTTACCTTTACTTCCTCGCGAACATCGGTTGTTCCCTCAAAAGTTGGGCGTCTGCTCTTTACGATACGGGTCCATGCCCTGCCACAGCGATCTTAGGAACCATTCGAGGGTTGGGGAGAATTCTTTATTCAGGAGTTGTGTTTACAGGCAGGCCCCTCTTAACTTTGAGCGATAACGTCACCCCAATCCTTTTCCGTTTCTGTGATGAAGGATCCCTGCTGCCCTCGGGAAATTCATTCTCTCTCGTAGCCGATTCCAGGCAACCTCTGTAGGCCTGTCACGAGAGGCGGGGCAGCAGGACACACCCCTGCTCTGAGATTGGGTGACCTGTAGCTCAGTTCTGTATCCGCCCTTTCGCCATTGCGGGCATTCTCCCTATCGCCGCCCCCCCACCCTCAGCCCTGTCTCAACTACAGCACCTCCAGGGGTCAGTATGTCCACTGAGGTAGCTGGGGATCCTGGACTCTGCACACAACTTTTGGAGAGGAGGGTTGCTGATGGACAGGGAGAGATGGGTTTTCCATTTTCCCCAGAGGTATCTTGGCCTCCCGCACAAGAGAGCAGCTTGGATCTTTCTAAAAGTGGGAAGCCCTTTAGGTTTTCCCTAGGGTATTCCCCTTCTCCTGGGATTGATCCCTTCCTCTCCCCCCCCCCCCACTCTCAACTAATCTCTGCGTAACCATTGCATCAGGCCAGCCCTACTGTTTGGCTTTGCAGTCCTCTGGCCTGGAGCTCCACTGCTGATGAAAGCCAAGTCCCCACACTAGAAGGCAAGGAATTGTTCCCCTGAGAGGACAGCAATGTAGAGAAATAATCGGAGCAATATTGCATCTCCAGTCTCGAGGGACAGGCAACTCTGGATTTAGTCCTCCCTATAAGTGAGATTGGGGCGGGAGATTTACATTCATTCATATACTCAATGAGCACTTACTATATGTCAAGCAGTTTGGGGCTCAAAGTGTATTTCTAAATAAGAAAAAAATATTCTGCAGTGGAAGCCATAATTGAGATGGAGAAAACTAAGCAGGAAAAAACAATGTTCAGGGTGGAGGTTAGTTTTTTATCAGTTGGCCAGGGATTGCCTCACTGAGATAACATTTAAATGAAAGGCCCTAAACCAGGCAAGTGGTGCCTGTAATCCCAATGACTCTGGAGGCTGGCCAGGAGAATAGCAAGTTGGAGGCTAGCCTCAGCCATTAAATAGACCCCATCTCAAAGTAATAAAAGGGCTGGGGATATAGCCCAGTAGTAATGCACCCCTGGGTTTTAATCCACAACACCAAAAAATAAAGACCTGAAAGAGGCAAGCCAGTGAGCCATGCAGATACTATGGAAGGAAGAGCATTCCAGGTGGAACAGCTAGAGCTTAGACCCTAAAATGGCAGTATGCCTGATATCTTTAGGAACAGGCCAGGTGGGCTGGAGTGAGCAAGGATGAGAGTGGCCTATGAAAACTCAACAATTTGTAGACAAGAAGCATATTCTGTAGGGCCTTGCAAGCCATTATGAGGATATTTTTAATATGCATGAAATTGGAARTCATTGGAAGATTCAAAGCAAAGTCATTATTTAAGTTTTTAAAGGGCTGGGGATGTAGCTTAGTAGTAAAATGCACCATCATCATCATCACAAAAGGCTCTCTTGAGGACTGGGGTTGTGGCTCAGGGGTAGAGCCGCCTAGCACAGGCAAGGCCCTGGGTTTGATCCTCAGCACCATATTAAAAAAAATAAATTAAAGGTTAAAAAAAAAAAGGTTCACTTGGGGTGCTATGTTGTGAATAGACTTAGGGAGTGGTGGCAAGAGCAGAATGGGGAAACATTCTGCAAGGAAGTTTCCAAGGTAATGAGGAGAGATAATAGTAAATTGATCTTCATTTGAAAACAAGGGTGTGCCTATTTTTAAAGAATGAGGATTGCTGATTGGGAGGCCAGCTTTGCCAACTTAGTGAGACCCTGTCTCAAAATTTAAAAAGGCTGCGGATATAGTTAGGTGGTAGAGCCTCTCTGGGCTCAATCCCCAATACAAAAGAAAAAAATAGAGAATTTGCTAGTGCTGTGGATTGGATTGTCAAGTGTGAGGGGAGAGGGGATGACACCAAGATTTTTGCCTTAACCATCTTGAAATGGAGATGACCCTGGAAGGGAAAGGTCAGCAGGAGATTGTCTTTGGACTTAATATAAATGCCTGTTACACATCCAAAAGGAGATGGTAAGTAGGCAGTACATAACAGAGTTGAAGGTCCTAGACCAGAAATAGAAATGTACATTTGGACCATATGAGTGCAGAAATAGATTAGGAAAATGCCTTAGACTTGTTCTCTTAGCCCTTACTGGGCATGTTTGAGGGCTGCCTTATATTTAGAGAAACTGAGTTGGCCAGGACTTTGCTATTATGTAATCAGGACTACAAATGTCACATGTCACAACTAAATAAAGGAAGCAGAGCTCTCTTCTGTCCTTGGAAATAGCTATAGGACCTTTTACTATCCATATTCCACAAGACCAGTAAGAGGTTAGAAGAATCTGCCTCTCCTTTCAAAAATGGCTGACATTTCTCTTTGTTCCACAGTGTTCCAGAAGGAAGTGTATCTTCATACATCACCACACCTGAAAGTAGGTAAACTTCACAACTCTTTTTCCAAAACCAACTCCTAAGGAAAAGCTGCTTAGGCTCCCTTTGCTGGGATCCTAAGAAGTTACTAGAAGACCCAGCCTAAAGAAGGAGAGCAGGGTTTGAATCTCAACAAGCTTTTGTTGTCAGGCCATGTCTATCCCTCTAGCCTGCCCCTTAACAACATGGTGACCAAATCACTATTTTTAGAGCATTTCCTAATTGAAATCTGCTCTCAAAGTCAGCCCTAGCAAAGACGGTTGGTTTGCCTTGCTCATCTTCAGTCTCAAAGGACCTTTTATCCAAAATCCCCACACAGAAAGGAGCACAAATGGCCTGGTAATTGCCCCTTAAATGTACCTATAGAGTTCCCATGTGGGCTGAGAACTTTCATTAGGATCTCATAAGAATATGTGTTTGGGTAGCATCTGTTATCACTATTAATCTCTGCTATTGTAACATTAAAGCAGTCATAAACAGTATATAAATAAATAGATATGTTCCAATAAAACTTTCACCTACAGATCATTTTGCCAACCTGTGGTATAGACTTTGTTTGCCAAGTGGAACTTTTATACCGAGTATGTACTTTTCCAGAACCTGATCCAACTGCAGAGATGGCAGCTGAGTCATTGCCTTTCTCCTTCGGGACGGTGTCCAGCTGGGAGCTGGAAGCCTGGTATGAGGATCTGCAGGAGGTTCTGTCTTCAGATGAAAATGGGGGTACTTATATCTTACCCCCTAGAAACGAAGAGGTGAGAATGCTAATTCTAAAGTTGAGGGGATATTATCTTTCCTTTCTCTACTAATATCTGCCCTTCCTTTCCTCATTTCTTTGAAGGAAGAATCAAAAACCTTCACCACTCTTAACCCTGCGTCTCTGGCTTGGCTGGCTGGGGAGCCAGGACCAGCAGAAGTCGCAAGCATCTCCCAGAGTCCTCGCTCTCCAGACTCCAGTCAGAGCTCCCTGGCTCAGGAAGAAGAGGAGGAAGACCAAGGAAAAACTAGGAAACGGAAACAGAGTGGCCAGTGGCCAGCCCGGGCTGGAAAGCAACGCATGAAGGAAAAAGAACAAGAGAATGAAAGGAAAGTGGCACAGCTAACGGAAGAAAATGAACGGCTCAAGCAGGAAATAGAGCGCCTGACTCAGGAAGTAGAAGCCACACGCCGTGCTCTAATTGACAGAATGGTTAATCTACACCAAGCCTGAACAATTGGAACCATCACTCCCCAACTGGGGCCACTACCTACCTTACCCTGAAGTGGCTACTGACCACTTTCACACCAGTGTCAATGATGTGACCTTCAACACATGTCCAGTAGGGGGAAGGATTGGGGGAGACAAAAGCAAAGGGTCTCAGCTTGTATATAGAGATAATACATTTATTTATTAACTGTCCATATCCATTAAAGACTTTCTATGAGCCACGTTCTCTCACTTTTTCTTCTTGCCTTTAGGAGTTTCAAGAGGTTTCCCCTCAGCTAGAGCCAACTGTTTCTTTAGATCCAAGAGTTTAGCCACCTCCGCAGCAACCTGGTTCTTGTCTGCCTTTTGTGCTTTCAGTTCTCGGACAATGTTGCCCTAAGAGAAGGGTGAGTGGAGAGAGTAACAGTGAGAGAGACCAGGTAAAAGTCTGTTTAGGATTCAGCTTTTCCAGTCTCCCAATGGGCTTCAGCTTCATACCTGTTTTGTCACTTCATCCATAAGCATTTGGATCTGCTGTGGCCCCACTGTTGTAACAGTCTCTACAACTGCTGGCTTGGGGAATACTTTTGCCTAGAGAAGAAAAACTGGGTTATCACTGGCTGCCGTAAACATCTCCTGATCTCTAAAAAAGTGATTACTTTTAACTCAAGGACTCTTCTAGCTAAGATAGGAAAGAAAAAAGGAAGTAGCAGGGCCAAAAGATGGAAAGTGTGATGAGGGAATACTACTTGGGAGAATTAAGGTGCTGCTGTGGCTGTTGGGTGAGGGCACAGTCTAGCTTTCTCACCTGGCCCCCTCCAAATCGCTGCCTCAAACTTTCAATCTGGTCATTTTCCAGTTTTTGGAACAAAGGACTGACCTGTGAAAGAGAATTCCAGAATCATTCACTGCTTACATATAAACTCTACCAAACTATATAATGGGCTTCTCCAACCCTACTCTTGATATTTAAAAATCCTTAATGCTCCCAGGTACCATGGCACACACCTGTAATCCCAGGAAATATATGTAAAGGAAAGAAGCAAATGAAGGAAATGGAGAGTTAATAGTAACAGACTGATTCTGGACAAACCTGTGGAGAGGGCCCAGTGGACACTGAATCCCTCTTCCACTTATAGCCCAAGTAGATAATGGGAGGAGAGGGATTTTTGCATTTAGGGTTTTAATCCCAGAATAGCAATATGTTTTCTTAAGATGGAGTATTTGGGGCTGGGGCTCTAGCTTAGCAGCAGAGTGCTTGCCTACTATGTATGAGGCACTGGGTTTGATCCTCAACACCCACATAAAAATAAAATAAAGGCATTGTATACATCTATAACTACCAAAAAAAAAATTAGATTTTTGGTTTTGGGGCTTGAACCCAGGGGTGCTTAACCACTGAGCCACATACCCAGCCCTTTGTGTGTATTTTATTTAGAGACAAGATCTCACTTAGTTGCTGAGGCTGGCTTTGAACTCAAGATCCTTCTGCCTCAGCCTCCCAAGCCACTGGGACCACAGGCATGTGCCACGGAGCCAGCCTGTTTGTGGTTTCTTTGCATGATGGAAGACTACTGTCTGAGGTTTAGATCAGACTGCGAAGTGACTCTTGAAAGATATATTTTATAATGGCATTTGAGTATTCTACCTGATAATGCAGAGGCAGGAGAACTGAAAGTTCAAGGCCAACTCAAACAATAAAGAGCTGAGGATGCAGTTCATCAGGAGATCATCTGCCCAGCATGGAAGAGTGAATGAGGCCTGGTCATCCCTAGTACTGGCCCTCCCCAAAAAAAGTCTTAGAGGGAACATAACACTAAGCAAATACCTACTGGTTAAGAAAATAATTCAGAAAAAGCATTCCTCAGAAAGCCCAAAGTATTGATAGGATCAGAAAGTATTTCAACTATTTAATGATGCTAGGTCAATCCAGAAGTTTTAGATGTACTCTGTAGTAATCCTGTGTCAAAGAGTAATGATACTCTTGTATTCTCTCTGCCTCACTGCCTACTAGTATTATGGAAACAATAATATCGTGGTATTTCTTCAAATGGCTGTATACCAGTTAGTTTTTATGTGCCGGGTACGGTTTTAGCATGAAAACAAAACAAAAAAAAAAAAACCACTGAACTTGTGAACCAGTACCAAGGACCTTGCATCACAAGCACACCCAACTGCAGAATGAGGAGGGGTTCAGAAGACCTATAAGAGCTCTTGCCCCAAAAGCAAAGAACAAGAGAATGTTAGGTCTATTCTAACATCATCCCAATAGTCACATGGCAGGGAGGGAGACCTACCGTGCCAATCTGGTGCCCTGCTGGTAAAGTACACAGGAAGTTCGTGGGAAGGACACTGCAGGCTGGAAGCGGGAGTTGCAGCTGTGCCTGGATGGTGGTGCTAACCGTGGGCATGAAAGGCTGGAGCATGGTGGACAGCAAGGCAGCTATATTTACTGCCAAGCCTGTCACTGTGCCTGCCCGCTGCCTTAGGGAGAAGAGAGATTTAATCAAGACCTCCAGGAGGACATAGCCTATCAGCCATCTAATTTCTAGAGACACCCCTACCCCTTTAACATACCTGTCAGCCTCACTGCCTTTAATCCACTTCCAGGGCTCATTCACTTGAATGTATTGGTTACCATGTCGAGATATGGTAAGGATACTGCGTAAGGCATCCCGGATCCTGGGAAGAAAGGAAGCAGGCCAAGGTATATGAGTCTCTTGACATGCCAGCAAACCCTAAGAGGCAGAGCTGTGTAAGTTACTTACCGAACCTTCTCCAGCAGTTGGTGATAATGTCGGAGCTCCAGGGTAATATGGGCCAGCAGGCGCTGATCATCAGGGGTAAGCACCATCTCAGGCACACAGCCCCCAAAAAACTTAGACACAAACATCCCAGCTCTTAATAGAGATAGAGAAGGAGAAGAGGAGAAAAAAAATTTTGGCCAGTCTCCTTATAAACATTTGACACTTTCCACAACTTTTCATTCTCTCAGGATTCCTGTCCACATTAACATGCTTCCTGGCCCCTCAAACTAAAAGGCAAAGCTTAACAAATTAAGCCTTTATTCTCTCGCCCCTAAAAATGTCACTCTTCAAATGAAGAAACCTAATCAAGTTAAGCAACTATACATTTTGCTTTTAAGTAAATTTTTAAGAATGATCAAGTTAAGCCAAGCACAGTGGTTCAGGAGGCTAAGGCAGGAGGATCACTTGTTCAAAGCCAGCCTCATCAACTTAGTGAGGCCCTAAGCAACTCAGTGAGACCCTGTCTCTAAATAAAATCCAAAAAAAGGGCAGGGAATGTGGCTTAGTGGTTGAGTGTCCCTGAGTTCAACTCCCGGTACAAAAAACAAACAACAAAAAAGGATCAAATTAAAAAATTTWAAAAAATATTTTTAATTGTAGATAAACAAAATACCTTTATTTTATTTATTTTTATGTGGTGCTGAAGATCAAACCCAGGGCCTCATACATGTGAGGCAAGCATACTACCACTCAGCCACAACCCCAGCCCTCAAGTTTAAATTTATTATGTGTTAATTGCTATCAAACACTCTAAAGAAGACTATCTGTTCAAGATGGTTAATGAAAAAAACCTGAAAGGGTAAATAGTAATTGAGCCAACGGCCTAGGGCTCAAAGAGAGGAATAGAAAAACTCTAAGTCATGGAGATTTCTTCAGACTGCAGAATCACTGTGATAGGGACAAAGAATAGAAATGTGACCCTAAAGTAACAACTCTGAAGAGTAGAACAGAAGCCTCCTATCACTACACTGAAATAACCCCTTTCTTCAGCCAAACTTTTCAGTGGCCTACAAGTGAACCTTTTTTGTGTAAGGATAAAATATATCATTTCTTCAATGAACATCAGAAAACAATTATGTTAAAATCCCTCTGTGACAACTTTGCTAAATCTTATCTCTCTTTCCAAAGTATACTTTACCTACTATGTGCTGGGAGCAGAGTCCAACTTAAAGAAATCAATTTTCCACAATGTCTCTACATATTCTCTCTATATTCTTATCTCTGGAGGGAGAATTGGGACATTTCAGCTCTACTGCTGACTCTAACCCCTTACCAACTCCCACCTGTTGATGAAGTTGCCCAGATTGTTAAGCAGCTCAGAATTATTCTTGAGCAGCATGTCTGTCCAGGAGAAGGCAGTGTCCTGGCCCTCAGGACGAATGTATAGCAGATAGAAGCGCCAGATGTCAGCAGGGATCCCTGTGTCCTGGGCCATATCTCCAAACACTCCCACACCACGGCTCTTAGAGAATTTCCCATCCTCATAGTTCAGGTACTCTAGACAGAGAAGAATGAGAACCATCTGCTCAAATATCACTCCCCTCTCTGACCCAGTAATTCTTCCCTTTCCTTCAACATTAATGGTGGATGTCCAAAAATACCTCACCCTGAGTAGCTTGGGATCCTTTCCTATCCATTCTGACCTTTTTTCTCTTTGCTCATATGTAATACAAAATTTTTGCTTTGGTCTTTTGCTTTCTTCAGAATCTTGATTCCTTTTTCTGGATGAAGTTCTCAAGTTTTAATTATTTCCTAATCCATATCAACTACTAACTCAAGACCTAGCACTTCACAGGATCTTCTTCCAAATACTGCCTTAGTTCTCATTCCAACAGCCCATCCGCTTTCTTCTAGGGTACCTACCTGTAGCAATGAGGTGCTTGACTAAGGTGTAGTTATCCTCAGCTCCTAGGGCTGAACAAGGAAAGACTAAGCCATGAAAGGGAACATTGTCTTTGGCCATGAACTGGTAAAGGTCCACCTAGGGAATATAGTTGAGAGAGATCTGAGACTTTCTTCAAAAGTCCAAAAAAGACCAGATACCCTGTCATACATGCCCTCCTTCATATGCCCTCTCCATAAACAGGCTAACCAAGAACTGCTCACTTGCTCTGGGTTCTTCCACCATTGTTCCCACTGGTCTGTGTAGTTGGCTGTGATGGACAAGTAGCCAATAGTAGCATCAAACCAGACATAGAATACCTAGAGGTTCAAGAAAAAGGAAATGATAGGAATCAACCCAAAATTTCAGATATAATCAATACTCTATTCTGCAAACCCATGGTCTTAATCCTGAGACTATAATTTGAGACGTTAAAAAGAGTTTTTACCTTGTCCTCAA